TTAAAACTATATTGATTATCTCAATTGGTCACACCTTTCGAATTTAATTGAAATTAATTAATTAATTAAGAAAATATGGTAAGTACATAAACTTGTAAGTTTATTATTTATCAATAAATGGTATATCTATTAATTTTATATGGTATATCTATTATATATTATCTATAACATAGTATCACATGGCAAAAATTTAGCAATTATTTACGCTTACGTGATAATAATATTACATTTTAATCGGGATACGTATATAATATAAAATGGTAATTTAAATAATAAAAAAGAAATATAATACACGTGGCGAGCAAGGATTGGATGGAAGGAACGACCATTCACATGGGGGAGTTCCCCTAAAAACTCTAAGCCGAACAAAGTCAACAAATTAGACGGCTTTTCCAAATTTAGTTAAAGTTACCGTCACAGCCACGACCTGCCGTGACAGCCACAACCCCCTATTTCAACGCTGCTTTCCGCTCTCGCATATCAACTTATCCAATTTCCAAATTCAATTAATTTCCTCTCTGTTTTGGGTTTCTGGTTTCTCTCCATCTCAATCTCTCCGCTAATCTATACACACACACACACACACACATATATATATATATATATTTATACACAGGTATATAAGCATACGCGCATCTCACCAAACTCACATCTCAAAAACTCTCCACGACGACGAGCTTCTCCACCTTTCCGAGACGCGATTCATCAACCGCATTAGCCATGGCGCCGCCTCCTTTTCGGCTTTGTATAGCTATTTCGTTCCTTTTCATGGTCTTCTCCTTGTCGCTGGCTTCCATGTCAATCATCGATTACGATCTCCCCGCCGATCCTCTGCAATCGACGGAACGAACCGAGGCGCACATGATGAAGATGTACGAGCATTGGTTGGTTAAGCACGGGAAGAACTACAATGCTATCGGCGAGAAGGAGCGGCGATTCGAGATCTTCAAGGACAATCTTAGGTTTGTCGACGAACAGAACTCCGTTCCTGGCCGCACCTACAAGCTCGGATTGACTAAGTTCGCCGACTTGACTAACGAGGAGTACCGAGCGATGTATTTGGGTGCGAAGATGGAGAAGAAGGAAAAATTGAGGACTGAAAGGAGCCAGAGATATCTGCACAAGGCGGGCGACGATGACGACCTGCCTTCTCATATTGATTGGAGAGAAAAGGGCGCCGTTACGGAAGTCAAAGATCAAGGCCAGTGTGGTAAGCCTTTTTCTCATTATTCTTTTTTCAAATTCAGTCTCGTGTGTATTTTTGTATTTTTATTTGCTGTTTTTCTCTCATTCTTACCTGATTGATAGAGATATTGACAGTGAAAGCTACCTTTTTGTATTTATTATTATTTTGGACGGATTGTTGTTTGCTGGGTTTAATTATTAATTTCAATGCTCTTTTTGCTTAGTTTAGAAAAGTAATTTAGGGGAAATTGTTTTTTCAAATTAACATCCACAAGTTAATATTCATGAATTTGATATGCTGTAATTATTAGTACAAATGAAAGAAGAATCTGAAGATTTGATTAATTTCGCCATATGCAACAGTTTCTACTCAAAGATTGATCATTTATCTTTCTGAAATGATTATGAGTAGTAAGTGAATTTCCCTTACTAAGAAGGATTTGTTTGTAAAACTTAAATACAAGAAAATGATTTTTTAATTATTTGAGATTAAAATTAATATGAAAATTAGAACTCAAAATTAGATTCAAGTAGGTAGATGCTGATCCGAGTAGGTAGACCAATCATGTGGACTTTTTCATCAGATCCAAGTAGGTAGATTAGTCGAGAGGTAGATTAGAACAATCTGATCCGAGTATCACCTTTATCACGTAAAAAAAGTAGGTGCTGTGATGAGTTCTTTTCTGTCATGGGTTGTTTGCAATGAACTAATTAGTGTCTGGTTGGTTTTTGATTGAAGGGAGTTGCTGGGCGTTCTCTACAGTTGGTGCAGTTGAAGGGATAAACCAGATTGTAACAGGTGAGCTAATCTCATTGTCAGAGCAGGAGCTGGTGGATTGTGATAAAGCATATAACCAGGGCTGCAATGGAGGTCTAATGGATTATGCTTTTGAGTTCATCATCAAGAATGGTGGCATTGACTCCGAAGCAGATTACCCCTACCGGGCTTCTGATAACATGTGTGATTCAAACAGGGTTAGTGTCAATCAAATCCATTTAACTCAATGATGAAGAGTTTTGAGGGTTTGCTCTTTAAGGAGTTAAGAGTTGTGATTTTCTGTGTTGTTTGACAGAAAAATGCTCATTTTGTTACCATCGATGGATATGAAGATGTCCCGGAAAATGATGAGGAGTCGCTGAAGAAAGCTGTGGCAAATCAGCCAGTTAGTGTTGCCATTGAAGCTGGTGGCAGGGAATTCCAGCTCTACCAATCGGTAAGTTAATCAAAAGCATGAATAGCCTGTTGAAGATCCAGAGCAGTTGAATATAGAATGCAAATAGTCTTGTCTGCTATATCTTTTAACTTGAGATAGACAACTATACATGGCATGGCTGTATGAACCATTTTATCATGTTCGCTCATTGATCTGTATCTTCGTATCCTAACTCCTGAATGCATAATTGTAATGTTGAATATCTGAAAAACTTATCACTTGTTTCCAAAACTTGAATATCTTAATGACTTAATCCTTGTGATATCATTTTTTTGTTCTTTTGGTGAAAATGCTTGTTCCTGTGAATTAAGTTTAGCTATAGATACTTGTTTATAATTATCTTCACGCCGTGACCACCTTATATTTGTCTCAGAAACGTATACTACCTCTTTTTCAGGGTGTGTTCACGGGACGCTGTGGAACAAATCTAGACCACGGTGTTGTTGCAGTTGGATATGGAACAGAAAATGGCATAGACTACTGGATTGTGAGGAACTCATGGGGTCCTAAGTGGGGAGAGAGTGGTTACATCAGGATGGAGCGCAATGTGGCCAGCACTGACACTGGCAAGTGTGGGATCGCAATGGAGGCCTCTTACCCCACCAAGAAAGGCCAGAACCCACCAAAACCGGGACCATCTCCCCCATCTCCGGTAAGGCCACCGACTGTCTGTGATGAATATTACTCCTGCCCTGAGGCCACCACCTGCTGCTGTGTCTACGAGTACGGTGGATTCTGCTTTGGCTGGGGATGCTGCCCTCTTGAATCCGCAACCTGCTGCGATGACCACTACAGCTGCTGCCCTCATGACTATCCCATCTGCGACCTTGACGCTGGAACTTGCCGAATGGTAATTCTCTCTGTCTAATCGACATTGACTTGAGCCATAGTATAAACTAATCTATATCATTATTAGTTCATAACATAACTTACACCTCAAGGTAACTTTTTTTTTTCCTGTTGTTTCCAATGGAACAGAGCGAGAACAACCCAATGAGTGTAAAACCATACAAACGAGGGCCTGCTAGAAGTACACGATCACCAAGTGTTGGCGAGCTTGTCAGCAGTGCTTAACAAGGCCCTGCAACAATCAGCCGCTGCCATTGGAGGTTTATATGCTTTTGGGATCAATCAGTTAGTAGATAGTCGTAATCTTTCTCGGTGATTTGTTGTAAATAAGAAACTCCTTATTTATCTTATTCTATCCAAAATCAAACAGATAAACTCCCATTTCATTGTATCAAAATTTCCTGCGAATTCTCCATTTTATTTTCACTAATTCTGGTTTTTCTTGTTTTGTGATTTTATTATTTATTAGTTAATCCGACATCGTTTTCTAAAAGAATAAATTAATAAATTCAATTTTATACGGAAATCCAAAGATAAAATTTAAGAATTTTATATAATCAATTTAAACATTGTCTTCTTTTTTCTCCAACACATAAGATTTTGTTCAAAATAATTAATAGATTTACAGCACTAAAATACTTTGAATAGTAAATAAAAGGCGGTTAAATAGATATGAGACAAATCAATTATATTATAAAAAATATAATAATTACATATAGATTAACAAAAAGATCAAGTTATATAGTATTAAATCATAAGATATATTAAAATTTAAAGGTAAATATATGTGTTCATAAAATCAAATTATAAATTATAAAAAAGAAAATACTTTATATTTTAAATAATTTTGTTTTTAATAATGATGTATATTTATTAAGTAATACATCATAAGATAAAATAAATAAATTTCAAATTAATGATACACATAAAATACGTGAAATAATTAACATACCAAAAATTTAATTAATTAATTAATTTTAAAATAATTTTGAATAGGATTGCAACATTATAAAAGTCGTGCGGTAAATTAAGAGGGAAATTTCAAAAGATGTTGAATTAATTATTTTAAAAATATAATATCATAAATTTTACCTAGCGCATGATGCCAAATAAACCCATAAATAAAACAAACGAATCAAAAAACAAAGCACCACTTGCACCGTCCGATTACAATTCAGTTTTTATCTGGTCGATCGCCACTAAAATCAACGGCTCGCGTTTGCGTTGACCAATACTATTTCACATGGGCGTGAAACACTCGATACGAGCCCAAATTCATGTCATTTCACCGAAAATCCTCTCTCTTTCGTTCATAAGAAAAAAATTATTTCTCTCTCTCTCTCTCTCTCTCTATGTGGAAACCCTAAATAAGTTCAGTGAACTCGCATGTGATCTTCTGTATTGAGATCTTCAATGTATTGATTGCGTTTTCCAGGTAAAATAAGTTCCTATCTGCAGATCTGAAATTGGTTAACAATTGAATATTTATACCGGCTTTTATCGTTGATTCTTCTGGCCTTTTGCACCTTCGTTTACGCTGTATGTAAATTTTTTGATGTTTTGATCTTGTTTTTTTCGGAAAATAATTTCTGTTTGTAGAGATTGTATAAGTTAAAATGAGTTAATTGTGTTTGAATATCTTCTTTTCTTTAATTGATGCGTAAATTTACTATGACTTCCTCAGGCATAAATTTGAGAGCATTTCTGATTAAATTTTCAAATAATGGCAGTTTTTATTCATAGTTATGTATAATTAGCATTTTGGAGGTCCTCATTTTTTCTTTTTCCCCGCAAAATTTGCTTGAAGCAAAGAAAGAAACATGAGCAACGAGTTGAACGGGATGGCAGTTTAGTTTTAGCATTAGATGCTTTAGAAGTGAATTCTGTTCGTGTCCTTTGCTATAGCTTTACACGAAATAAGTTGAAAAGTTCAAGCGGTATTCATTTGCTTGGCATGTTCACGTAAGAGGTTGACCTTCAAATTTATTATCGGTACTTTAAGGTGTATTTGCTTTGACATGGTTTTAAGGGGGATCTCTTCTGCTGACATGAAACTTTAATTAGTTTGTTTGTTAGTTTGGAGCTTATGTATTCTTGGTACCTTTGGATCCTTCACATCTACGCCAAAGTAGCTGGAGTTGTTTTTCTTTTACGATGCAGAATGGACTAGCAATAGATTTCCTAAGTAGTTTAGAAATTGTAATCATGTTAAATGTAAACCAACTATACTATTATGGAATCTATATTACTGAGAGTATTATTATAATTTCAGTCACTTAGGATTTTTATTTTTATTAGTATTTTTCTATTTGTATTATCTCAAAAAAAGTATTTTTCTATTTTTACTAGGTTTAGTATTCCTAATTCTATTAGTTTGCTATTTCCTAGTTTAATTCTAGTTAAGAAAATATTATTGTAAATAGTCTTGTAATTTTACTTACTAATCATTCAGTTATTCAATAATATTTTGACAGTTTATCAGTTTTTTAGTTGTGTGATTAAATCCAACCCTAGGTGCGATGTTTAGGGTTTTTAATCCCAAAATCCTTAATTGGACAAATTAACCATGTGTCCTACATCATTTTATTTTTTCTGTTTTAGGAACGGAAACTAATTTACCTCTTGCTTGACTCTGTGTTTTTTCACTTTATGAGCATATGCATTATGATATTCGAATCAGTACTTACTATATCCAAGTGGTTGTGAACCCAGGAGGGAAGTATAGGGGTTCTTTTTTCTTTTTTCTTTTTCCTTTGTTTTTTTGGCTGTCTGTCATTGATTTGATAAGTTGTGTCTTTGCATGTTGTAGGCTCTGTTTAGTCATGCTGAGAGTAAAAGCGGTTTGTTAATTTTTTTTTTAACTTCTTGATAGAACTTAGAATTTGCTGCTGTGGAAGCTAGCATCTGGTAACCTGTCTACGTTGCAAGTTCCGTGAAAGATATTATGTCAAATATACGGCTTGTTAATAATTCTTTAAAGTAGTTGTGAGGACGTGATATGAATAAGTTGCATATGAAAAAACTAAGTTTCTAGTTTCTACTTAT